TCGGTTTTTTTTTAATTTTTAATTTCTAATACTTATTTCAAAACATATACATATTTAACAAGCAAATAATCCTTCTACAATAGCATGCTAATGTTGCCTAACTAAAGGATGCAATTGGAAATGTGAAAATGAAAAGCTCAATTGTGAAAACCTCAATGAAAATAAGGAATCCATTCATTGGCGTCACTACGGGGAGGATAATGAGTGTAATTACCCCACAAGAAAATTCTGACCTATAAATTTAAAAATCAATAGCTTGTTACACCTATCCCCACCTTAAGAGAAATCAGGCAGAACTGAACAAAATAATAGATAATTTAAACCAGCATTTACAGATTTTTTGAAAGAAAGTAATGAGTACATTTTCAATAAACTACAACTAGAGCGCCCCAGATAGCATTTGATATCCTATGTATATACCTCAGAGGTTCTGCTAGTGGACATGTCCTGGTGTATGTACTTAGAATATACATAACACATACATTAATGTATATACATTAAACAGACATATTATGTACCTACCTAGAGGTACATACGTTTTGTGAACATTCTACGAATATACCACTCATGAATATTTCTGAATATGCATTTAGTGTACATCCTACAAATATACATCTTATGACTATTCCGGAATATTCAGAGTGTGTACATCCTACAAACATGTAACTTATTAAGAATCAGTAATGTACATTTTGTGTATATCCAGAAAATATACCTTTTACGAATATTCCTGAATATGCATTTCGTGTATATCCAGAAAATATACCATTTACGAATATTCCTGAATATGCATTTCGTGTACATCCTGCAAATATACATCTTGTGACTATTCCGGAATATTCAGAGTGTGTACATCCTAAAAACATACCTCTTGTGAACTTTTCAAAACTTGCAATTTGCTTATATCCTACAAACATGTAACTTATGAACAATCAGTAATATACATTTTGTGTATATCCAGAAAATATACCTTTTACGAATATTCCGGAATATTCATTTTGTGTACATTCTGCAAATATACTTCTTATTACTATTCCGGAATATACAGAGTGTATATCCAGACAGACAAAAAACGTCTAACAACAAATGATTTTTATTCGTACCTACACAATGCCTACACAAAACAGAACGACAGAAGACAAAACAAAGTAAATTTTAGCGAATAACCAAGTTGAGATGTTAATATTTTGAACGGCAATAGACATATTTTTTATGTGTGATAGACGGAGACGGGACAGTTATCCTGTTACAAAAATAATGTTACTCGCGAAAATATAATAATTTTAGATTTCAGCAGCTGAACTCCCTAACTGGATGTGGATGTTTGAAATGGTACGAGTGTACGAGAACAATTCCTATGCGAAAATATACGACGTGACCACGTCTCGCTCTCTCAGATCCATACCGATGTGAGAGAGAGAAGTATAATTATTCTCCTACAATTCAAACATCAGTACTGGTCTGGCAATACAGGCATCTGCACTTATTTTTTCGGAGAAGACGTTGTAAATAAATTACTGCCGGTAGAGGTCGCGCCCATACAATTTATGGTTATTTTCCGTTTTTTTTTTATTTTACAAATAAACAGGTAATGATTTAAATTCACAGAACACCTCTTCACTGTGATTTAGTTATTTAATTGTGTGAAAGTGATAACACTGTTTTAATTTAATTAACAACTGTGTAATAAATTTTATTAGTTGCGCCATCTATAGGATCACTAGCCCAATTATATACGTCTTTTACTTTGAGTAATTTGGCATGATCGTCGCGGCTGCGCAGACTGCATGACACAGTTCACTTCTTTGTGCTATGTGCTGGAGTGCGTTTAGAAACCACGCACGGCGCGTCTGGACCCTATTCTAATGTATGTGGTGAGACGCGCCGTGCGGGGTTTCTAAACGCACTCCAGTGCTGCGTCATATTTGCTCCATTTTGTTATTTTTGTTGGGTAATCTAAAGCAGAAAACCTAACCTATTTTTGTCTTGTGTCCCGCTTCCCGGCATTCGGCAATCCAGTTTTGTTAGTTAACTATGTATAGAGTTTTGTGTGGTATAAAAGCTAAATTTATAGAAAATAAATATAAGTGTAGCCATTTTAGGGATGTCTTATTGCCAAGAGCAAGACTACGATATCCCTTATAAAAGGACAAGCTGGGTAACTTGTCCTCTGGACATAGCCCAAAAAAGAACAAAAAGAGTTTTGTGCGTGCTTTTTAGTTATTAGTATTGAGTAACTTCACTTGATAGGTATTTGCGAAATTTGGCAAGGTAAGTTTAAGGACTGAAGAGAGATTGTAGATTTTTTTTTATTTCTCTAACATATTTTAATACCACGTTTCTCGTTTTTGCAGATCCGTCACGCCAGTGTTTGTGTGTGTAATTGAATACGTGACTTCACTTCATACTTGCGATAAAGGTAAAGTAATTTTATGGCATTGTAGTTATTTTAATTTTAAATATGCAGAGAGTAACAAAAGGTATCATTAAAAGATCAACTACAGCTTCAAAGAAGCTCATTAAAAAAAGTGCTGCTAAAAGAGTACAGGGCATACTAGCTCTGTACAACAATAGAAATGCAGAACCAAGTCAAAAAAAAGCATTAAGACCTAGAACGGAGTCCAGCAGAAGTTCAGGGTCTGAGTTTGTCTCCGTGATTTTAGATGTTTCTTGTGGCATGTTTAGTTTTTGATTATTTGTTGGGAATACTTTTATAAAATAAACATCTCTTTTTTCCTGCATGGGTTTTATTATATTTTATCAACAAACAGTATAAAAATCTGAAGAATAATTTTGTTTTAGATCAATGAGCTCTCAAGAATTGGAGGTGGTTCAACAGTCCAAACAACAAGAAAAATTATGTATCGCCTCATCTCAAATAAATTGGGAATGAAGTTTTCATGGGAAGGAAAAAAAAATAAAAAAACATTTAAACATCTGAAGTTGTCAACAGTAATTTTAGGTTAATATAAATATTATTTAGTAAAATACTGTGATTTTTACATATTTACTAGAAAAAAATTATATCTTTATTTTTTTAGAGAGCGTTAAAAGGTTTAAATCCCAATCCACAGAAACTGAAATTATCAATACCATAAAATTATGGTTGGTGAGAAGTAAAGACCGCCATGAAAACTCCGAGAAAAGACAGCTTGATGAACAAAACGTAAGATTGTTTATATTTTTAAATTGAATAACTAATATCAGTATTCCCTAATTACAAGAACTAACCCATTTAATTTTGATAACTTTATTTGTCCTAAGTAATCAGTCATTTTAGGTTTAAATGAGCTGACTGAATATACTTATTAACTAATATTCACCTATTTTAATTCATATTCAATATTTTTAATGTGTGTAAACTTATTTAATTCAATTTTTTATTTTTAGGTTGAGACTGCAGTTGAGAATTAAGAAATTAGGAAAAAAATAAAAATTGTTTTGGCTGTTTTTAAAAATAAGTTTTAATAAAAAGTATATGTTTCTTTAAATGACACACAATATATATTTTTAAATTGTCCTTTTTATCCTGATACCTGACTTATAATTTAGATCATTATCAGTTTTGTAAATTTTGAAAAATCTATTGGTGTAAAAAGTACATTATGAAGTATACATAATATATATGTATATGTGTGTGTTCTGGGTAGATTCCTTTAGTAAGTGCTATATAGGTAAACCTGACATAATATTTTTGAGAAGTGTGTACATAATATAGGTACTATGTAGATATATTTGAATTTCATACGTTCACTTATCTACAGAGTAATTCATTCTTATGTTCCAATGATAGAAAAAAGTTAAATATAAATTATTTAGGTACCTATTCATATTAACAATTGTATGTACATAGCTCTTACCTATAGGAATATACCTTGAATATACCTAGAAGGATGTTTTTAATACATGCATAGTATATACTGGATATAACAGGTACATACATGGAATATATATCAAATGAATGTAGTTAGATGTACATACCATGTATGTACATTCACATGTACATATACACATCCATGGAATGTACAAAAAGGGGAATAAGGTACATACCATGTATGTCCTTTGAATGTCCACAATGATAATTAGGTACATTCCAGGTATATACAAATTCATAGAAAGTATGTTCATAAGATATACCTGGTATGTGAAAATGCTATCTGGGAGGTTGAGGTGTGTGGATTGAAAAATTCAGAACAACCGAGGAGCCTATTCAAGAAACTGCGGTCGATAGGTAAATCTAGAAAATTAGTAATAATCATACTTTTCTAATTATAAATTTAGCGTTATATTTAAAGGGCATGCTAAAATGTCTTCCTCGAAGCGCCTATAGATTTACTATAACAACTCAAAAAGCTTAGCCCCTTTATGTGAAATGTAAAATACAGGGTGGCCACGCTCATCGTTACGGAGCCGGTGGGCAAATTACAAAACGATATTCAAAATTCCTTTGGCACTCGACGGCGGCTACAAACTAAAATTAGTTTTATATATACAGAGTGTCCCAAACCAGAATACCAATATAAAGTTATTTTTTTTAATGGGACACATTGTATTTTCTTTTAAGTTTGAATTACTGCGTTAATTTAAATGGAAAATTCTGTATGTTATAGTACCAATATGAAGGAAATTTTATTTACTTTAAAAGTTCTACAAGGTTCCCTATACGCATATCTACTATTTTTAAACCTATTATAAACATACTTATTAAGAGTGATCTTTGCTTTATTTTCGGTGGGCCTTTTTTTGGGTCCCTTTCCTTGTCTTTTGAACCGAACGCTGTTGTTTTATATGTCTGGAGAGACATATAATAAAAGTTATTTCGGTGATGATTTCAACCATGAGTTTCTGTGATTTCGAGTGAAAACGTACCAGTATTTCGGGAGTGGTTCACTCCTCGCTTATTCTTAAATAGGTATATATTATTTAAACCTTGTTCGTAGCAGTAGCTGCCTAGCTTTTAGAATAAGTTAATTTTGGCGTTGAAAATAAAACAACAAAAGTTATTTAAAAAATAATTCTATTCTTTCCATTTCTGTATAATACGAGACACTAAACTAGATCCGCACTTTTCCACGTGCTTCAACCAATGCTTCTTATAAAAAAATGTTTTCCCGCAATTTTCGCAACTGACGCACCCACTTCTGTGACTGTGCATGTGATCTTTCAATTTCTGCGATGTCAAAAAATCTTCATGGCATATTTTACAAGCGAAGACCCGTTGAATTGAGTGTCTTTTTCTCAAATGTTGATCTAGGTTATATTTTTCCACGAAGCTTTTTCCGCAGTGCTTGCAGCTGTGCTTTTTCGGCTGGTGCATACGTTTTTTGTGCTAAAACATAGCAAAAATGTGTTATAATACGTAAGACAAAAGATAGTAAAGCAAAAACTAAGTGCAAATATGATTCGCCTACAACTACGTCTGCTGGTCTACGTCATAACAAGACTAGGAGGATTTTGTTACAAGGACTAATATGTTAGGGTACGAGTTCAACAGCTACATCTTTTCTACTCATTACCATGGCATTACCTGATTTAAACTTAGCTCGGACTTAAAAGTCTTTGTACAAATATCACAGTTAGTCATTTGATTGGAATGTTTCCTTAACTCGTGAACTTTAAGGATGTTTTTTGATTTAGTGGCGAAGCTGCACATCTTGCACTTGAACGGCTTGACCGAAAGATGCGTCGCAAGATGGCGATTCATAGATGCTTGACAACTGTTCTGTTTGCCGCAAATATGACATACGTAGCCTTTTATACCGGCGTGACGAGCTTTAAAATGGTTTTCCAACAGGGCTCGTGATGAATGACGTGAGTGACAATCTGCACATCTAGAAAATATTTACATTTGTCACAAATTATCGTAAATGGAAGAATATTCGAGCTGTTTGTGTACTTTCCAGGACATTGATGATTATTTGTTAGTTAATCACCATTGTTAATTAATAATAATTTGAATAAATTACGATTACCCATTGGCGTAGAATAAAGGGCTAACAAAACAATTTCGATCCAATCTTTTTGAACATCCTATATTTCATAAAAGTTAAGATAAATAATTACTCATCTCGCAAGTTCGAATTAAAATTGTTTTCTTAGCCCTTGATTCTACGCCAATGGGTTATCGATTTATCGTATTCGTTAATTTACTTCTGTCATTACTTAAACAGATTTCTTTAAGATAGTTCTTTAATGTATTTTAAAGATCTGTTTAAATAATGACAGAGGTAAAGAAGAAAATATTTTTAAAGGCCGTTAAATGATAAAGGAATTGTTACAGAATAGACCCCAGAGTGCGTTAACCATAAGTGTTAAGTAATAATGGCGATTAACTAACATATATATACAGTGAGCACCATAAGTCTTACCCCCCCTATCTAACTCGTTACTGGAGTCTTGTTAGGAAAATCGCCGAGACACGTCGATTTTTGATTTCTGCAATGTACATTTTCGTATAAATAGTTTACCCTTAATTTCATCCCTTACTGGAGGGGAGCAACCCTTTCGAAAAATTTAAATGGCATGGGGTGGTGAGTGATAGCTCATTTGAAAGAGGGTTTTATTCTCTATTCAACCGTGTAAAAAAATTTGCTTGATTAATTCTCGACTAATTGTTGTTTCAGAATAACGGAAATTAACGTAGCGCACTCATCCTTAGAATTAAAATTCGGCCCTGCATGATTTCGGTTTTGGTTCAGACGTGAAGTAAGACTTTTTGCCATTAAAAGGTCACTGTTAGTCCAGTTGCTTTCCTATTTTGTGAGGTTTTGTTATTTTTAAACATTAATAAATCAACACGTAATGAAGCAAATTTTAAAATTTTTTGCACGGTTGAATAGAGAATAAAACCCCCTTTCAAATGAGCTGTCACTCACCACCCCATGCCATTTAAATTTTTCGAAAGGGTTGCTACCCTCCAGTAAGGGATGAAATTAAGGGTAAACTAATCATGCAAAAATGTACATTGTAGAAATCAAAAATAGACCTGTCTCGGCGATTTTCCTAACAAGACCCCAGTAACGAGTTAGTTAGGGGGGGTAAGACTTATGATGCTCACTGTATATGTACATATTTTTAAGTTAAAATTTTTACCGTAAGAGAAGATATTTAGAAAATTATGTATTTAGAAATTCACTTTATCATCCTGTAGAATGAAAACTGGGACGTTTACAGGAAATTTAGTTTCTTAATATGTATACAGTTAGGATCTAAAAGTCGATCTATTTACGGTAGGTTATTGTAATATCATATATATTATATATTATATACTATATATTATATATTATATATTATATATTATATATTATATATTATATATTATATATTATATATTATATATTATATATTATATATTATATATTATATATTATATATTATATATTATATATTATATATTATATATTATATATTATATATTATATATTATATATTATATATTATACATGGTGATTCATAACTATAGGGACAGATTAAGGGCAGGTTATTTAGATCAAAATATGGCGATAGGACCAAATATACCTTAATAAAATATGACTGTGGAATAAGATACAGGGCGTTAAAGTTGAATTTTTTTTTTCGTTTTTTTTATAATCTCACTGTATATTTATGAATTGTTATCAAAATCGGCTCAAAGGCATATCTTTGGACAAGGGATATTATTTTATGTACTATTTCACATTTTTTTACAGGGGGCGCCACGAGAATGATTTCTGATGATGAAATTAAGTGGAAAGTTTTTTTGCCGAAACTTTTTAGTGCTTTTTATTAGAAAATATTACGTAAAAATCATTTCTACGTAATATTGGTACTCCTGTTTAAACACGATAATTTCACCTGTTTTAGAGAAAAACGCAATTGAACAGTTCAGAGTCTCAGAAGGATATTTCAAAAAATATTTTATTTATGAAAAGTGTGCTTTGGACTGTCAGATAATTGTGTCTGGACACCATGGTGTCTGGTAAATGTCAGTTCTTGCCAATGAATTATTTTTGCTGTGAGATTATAGTCTATTGTTGCATTTTTTAAAGCTTTTTCGACTGAAATGCCTCGTCACAATCATTTTACGAATGAAGAAATGCGGGATATGGTTCGTGTATATGCACAAGAAAATTTTTGCGGTCGCATGGCAGCCAGAAGGTATGAATTGTTATATCCGGGTCATTTCATAGTAAAAATCTGGGTGGTCGTCCGAAACAAATCACACCTAATGAAGAAGATGAAATTTTGGTTCGAGTAGATGAAAATCCTGAAGTAAGTTCACGTCAACTGGCAATAACAACAGGAGTAAGTCAGTCGTCTATTATTAGAGTTTTAAAAAAAGAAGTTTCATCCTTATCACTTCACTCCTGTTCAAAATTTGCTTCCAAGAGATCTCCCAAGACGGTTACAGTTCTCCCAACATATTCTCAACAAACATAATGATGACCGAAATTTTATTAAAAATATTATGTTCACCGATGAAGCGACTTTTACTAGACGAGGTGTTTTTAATTATTGAAACAGTCATCACTGGGAAGAAGAAAACCCGCATGCTCGTAAAGAAAGACATTTTCGACATGAGTTTAAATTTAATATTTGGTGTGGCATTATAGGCGACCAACTACTAGGGCCATATCGTCTTCTTTCAAATTTAAATGGAGATTCCTATTTATTTTTTTTTGCAAAATACTTTTAGAGTTATTTTGGATGATATGCCACTAGATGTAAGAAGGAAAATGTGGTTTATGCAGGATGGAGCTCCACCTCATTTCCCATTAGTTGTTAGAAATTATCTAAGTGACATATTTCCTCAACGTTGGATTGGCAGAGGAAGTAATTTTGAATGACCACCAAGAAGTCCTGACTATAACCCTCTTGATTTTTATGTATGGGGACATATGAAGTCCTTAGTTTATACCCAGGAAATTAATTCACGAGACGAACTCTGGAGGAACATACAAAATGCGGGTAATTTTATAAGGGGATAGAATAATATTTTCTTTGCCATCCGAAAGTCCTTTATTAAAAGAATTAGAAAATGCATAGAAGTCGGAGGAGGTCACATTGAACATTTAATTTAAGTTTGCTTTTTTTATGTTAAATTGTTTTTAATTTTGCTTTACCGTTGAAATAGAAGCCTTACGTTACAAGTTTTCTTATTGTGTTATTTGAAATCGCCTTCTGAGACACTGAATTGTTCAATTACGTTTTTCTCGAAAACAGGTGAAATTATCGTGTTTAAACAATATTACGTAGAAATAATTTTTAGGTAATATTTTCTAATCAAAAGCACTAAAAAGTTTCGCCAAAAAAAGTTACCACCTAATTTCATCATCAGAAATCATTCACGTGGCGCCCCCTGTAACAAAATGTGAAATATTACATAAAATAATATTCCTTTTTCAAAGATATGCCTTTGTGCCGATTTTGATAACAATTCATAAATAAACAGTGACATTATCAGAAAAAAAAAACAAAAAAAATCAACTTTAACGCCCTGTATCTTATTCCACAGCCATATTTTATATAGGTATATTTGGTCCAATCGCCATATTTTGGTCCAAATAACCTGCCCTTAGCCTATGTCCCAATAGTTATGAATCACCCTGTATATTATACAGGATGTAACTAAATAAGTGTAAAACATTTAAGGGAGTGATTCCTCATCGAAAAAAGATAGGATCTTTCATATAAAGAAACTTCATAGGAGCATCTTTTGTTAAGATACAGCCTCACATAAAATTTGTTTAACAATTTTTTTCACAAGCACTAAACAAGTTACAATATTGAAATTAACCTGTCATTTTCTACTACCAAAAAGACACTTAGCCAGTAATTTATTTGGTTTACCCCATGGTTGTAAGGGGTGGAAAACGCAACCCCTAAAATTTCGTTCCAACGTAACTTTTTGTCTTATTATTTGTTTACCATTTAAATTTCCGATAGCCTGATTCATTCTAAACAAAAAATGTCTCTTGAATTTTTTGCCCAAAATAAACCAGTTCGCAGCAAAAAATTATTTTACGAACAACTACAGCGATACATCGTCATAAATGCGAACTGGATTTATTGTTATTTTGTAGTTACTACCTGCATTAAATAAATTACTGGCTAAGTGTCTTTTTGGTAGTAGAAAATGTCAGGTTAATTTCAATATTGTAACTTGTTTAGTGCTTGTGAAAAAAATTGTTAAACAAATTTTATGTGAGGCTGTATCTTAACAAAAGATGCTCCTATGAAGTTTCTTTATATGAAAGATCCTATCTTTTTTTCGATGAGGAATCACCCCCTTAAATGTTTTACACTTATTTAGTTACACCCTGTATATTATATATTATATATTATATATTATATATTATATATTATATATTATATATTATATATTATATATTATATATTATATATTATATATTATATATTATATATTATATATTATATATTATATATTATATATTATATATTATATATTATATATTATATATTATATATTATATATTATATATTATATATTATATATTATATATTATATATTATATATTATATATTATATATTACATATTATATATTATATATTATATATTATAATCATTATGATTGTGAAGATTAATATTTAGGTTTGCTTACTTAAATAAGTCTGTATGTTTCTTCATATGAGCTGACAAATTTTTTGGTAAAACTTGTATATTACAAACAGTACACGCCACTTTATGTTTACTTTCATGTATAACAAGATCAGTCCGTCTTGAGAACACCTGTAAATTGAATAAGTACTTAAAAACAAAACGATAAAAACTAACCAAAGAACTTACCTCATTACATTTCGAACAACAAAACACAAATTGTCCATTGTGAGAATGTTGATGATCTTGATAGTCAAAAAAATGATCGAATTGTTCAGAACAAATACTACAGGAGTATACGTAATTATTTTCAGTACTTTTGAGCTAAAAATTTATCAAACAGCTTAGTTACTGTTCATTTTTTGATATTGGGATATACTATACACATCTATAGGTAGATACACTAAATCTTTCAAAATTTACCTATTTTGTTGCGTTTTTAAATCAGTGACTATGATCTTTCAACTTACAACTGTCAAGCTTTGGAGATTTTACTTTATAAAATAATTGAATGCACATGTGTTTTAATATTACGGAATCGTAGAAGGGCGACAATTTTTTTTACATACAGATGCTCTCATCTAGGTGCAATTAATTAAAAGCTGTAATAAATAAATTATATTTTAATTGTAATTTGTAGATATTATATTGTTATAACTATGAATAATACCTAGTCTTTGAGAATGCCCATATCCCATGACTAAATTAATGTCACCAGTTGTCTAAAAGTAACATTAACTTCAGTAGTACACCTAAAACAATGTCACTGGACTATTTGACAGGACTGATACTTAAGTTGTCACAAAAATCATTTGGAATGGCTAGATCATGTGGTATTGTTGAAGACTCATTAGAAGGTTGAATTTATTTATTTAGTACCTAAAATATAGGTTATTAAAAAAATAATTTAGCTCATTTTAAAGGTAGATTCAAAACTGTAATTTTCAGCACAAATATTTGAACTGAATTTCTAAGATAATTATCAAGTGCTTCGGTGTAAACGTAGGTAAGGATAGAACTGTATACTTAAAAAAAATTGTGACCTGCAAATCAGAAGAATCGATTTGTTCGAGTTTTAGATTGGTAAAATCAATTTTTCTGAGTTACGAGTCGGTTAAATCTACTTTTCTGAGTAACAAGTCAGAAAAATTGAGTTTTCAGACAGAAAAATAAAAACCGACCCTTTTACGATTCCCTATAGAAAAATCCATAAAATAACTACTATTAAGGATCTGCTATTTTAGTTTGTCCAAAGGAAATTAACAATTTTTTCTGATGAATTCTAAAATTGAGTTTTCAGTCCTGATCAGAACAAACACTATTGTCAAAAATGTATTAAATAGTGTGACTGTCGGTTAAATAATATCTAAATAAGGAAATAGTTACAATTCAAATGTGACCAAGATGTAAAATAAACTGAAAAATAAACTAGTATCACATAATAATATGAGTGACCATTTCCTTTAGAAAAACAACTAGTCATTTGGCTAATTCCGCCACAGGCATTTAATTTTGCTTACCAAGGAGAACATCATTCTTGACCTTTTTAGTACTTACTTGGACTCGTCAGAAAGAAATGTGAGATGTCTATTTCTTGGTCCACGAATTGTTCTCCTTGGGAAGCAAAATCAAAGGTAGAGTGTTGAAAATTATTTCCTCTCTTCTGTTTTCCTTTGGATATAATTCAATGTCTGTTGCGGTATTAGCCAAAGGAGTAGTTGTTTTCCCGAGGGCAAAATTTGGGATTCTTATTTTAATAGAAGTCTTGTATTTTAACTGAATTATTAATGATTATATTTACTTGTGTAAGTTTAGCAGGTACACTGATTATATTGTTTACTTGTTTTTTATAGAGATTGATGTTATGTCCTCCAGGGAAATAAACAGCATCACTAATTTCCTTTTCTTTATTTATCTCATTATCAATGGTTTCAGCTTTGCAGAATTCATAGCGGCTTTCGTTATTCTGTCTAACATTTATATATCTTTTTTGATTGGGCTCTATACACGATTTAGTGACAGATCGACATTTTCGGCGACTTTTATTTTTATTGGCATTTTCTTTACTTTTAACGTTATTTATTTCTGATTTGGATGCATCAATTTTAGATTTGTTTTTATTTTCTTTCATATAGCACTGAATATCTGTATTCAATTGGCTAAAATTTAATATAAAAACACAGTACGGATACATTTCAGTAAATAATTCAAATATAGTATCCTAGTTAAATTAAATACCTCTGACTAACAACAGGTTTAATGACTTCAATTTTATCTAGGTCCTCTTTCTCATCTTTATTATTATACAGTTTGTATAAAACTTTTTTGGAATGTTGAACTTTCTCCAAAAATTCTAAAATTTGTTTAATAAAATCAAGGCAGTTTCCACATACTAAGGGAGGTATATTGTCCTCATGATTAATCTACAAAGCAAAATAATAAAAATATATACCTACTTTAATAAAAAATTACAAATTACAATACTCACAAGTATACTTCCTAAATTTTTTAACTCATTTTGTAACTGGGTTTTAAATATATCTAGAAGTAAATTATTCGAATCAGCCTGCTCTTCATATAGACAGAAACGGCAAAATTTTGAGTTATTATCCATTCTTTCCATTAAAAAATTATATCATTCATACACATTATCAACAAAATATAAAACATAACCTCAATAAACAATAACAAAATGTTGTTAAGTCGATAGCTTTTTCATTCAAACCGGTTAAACAAGGTGGTTAACTAACAATTTTTTTAAAGGCATTTTCATTTGAATATGCACTACCACATAATAATGAATATATTTTTACAATTTGTTTAAAAAGTTGTTATCAGGAGTCCTTGTTGTTACGTTGATATCACGCATAATTAGCAAATCTGATATCAGGAAAGAGACTAAAAATAACTTAAATTTTAATTACCTGTAGATAATATTTTTTAATGCGAATTTTAACTATCCATTGAAATTTTATATTTTGTAATAACAACTTCAATTAAAAATGCAGTCTGTCTCAGAAACATCTTCAAAAGTAAAAGGTGCGCCAGATAGCCCAGATGTTCAAAAGGTGATCAGGTTGGTACATTATTTAATTATAAAATATTCAAAAAAATAATGGAGGGGAAAATAAAGCGAAAATTAGTGGTTGTAGAATTTTAGAGCATACCTATATAAACGTTTTCTTTATTAAAACTAGGTAAATTTGTTTTTATCATTTTTAAATAGGGTAGGTATATACCTATGTAGTGTTTGGAAATTATTAGCAATATTCAGGGATAAATGGATCCAAAGTGAGCTAGGGCCGCTCCTGTTTAATACACTGAATTAAAGCACTTTTTACATTAAAATTGAGAAGATACCGTCAGAATTTGTTCAAATTTTTAACATTCTTCAAAAAAAGGAGGAGGTTCTCAATTCGTCGGAATATTTTTTTTATGTATGTTCAGCGATACCTAATTCTTTACCACCTTGTCCGATTTCTGATTCTTTTTTTGTTATATAGTAAGGGGGTACGTTAGTGGTGGTCCAATATAAATATGGTCAAGATGTAGTATTGCCATCTACACGATTTTGAAGTCAGCTTTTTAAAATTACTTTTAATACTTGTGGTATTTTATAGGCAACTTTCTTATGGACCTCAAGTATAGGTAGCTCTACAGAGTGAGCTGTTAGAAGGATTCAAAAGTAAGAAGTGCAGAATTAATATTTTCAATTATATCTACTACACTCTTATACCTATAGTAGGTAGTTTTTGTTGGGAAAATTTTTATGTGGCGTGCCTTCGTTTTTTTTGTAATATATTCGAGATTTGCGAATAATTTATTGAGTATAGGTACAAAAAAATCCCATTACTAGATATTACTGTACATGTAAGACTATAGGCATGTCACATGTGTGCTCATATTTCAAGTGTTTTGGGGTACCTGAAACAGGAACGATTCAAAAATTACCTATATAAAATACCCTTCAACTGTTTTATTAAGGCTATTTTAGATACTGAAAGATGAGTCAGATTTTGAAGGTGTGTAAATAGTGTATGTATGTAATAAAAACAGGTTTTTAAAAATTCAGTATTTATTTTAAACAAATACGTGATCAGAAGTCATGTTCTAATAAATATGGTAATACATGAAAATGCACCTTATTTCAGTAATTAATATTCTTATTTTTTCGATCACTCTGTATGATTTATTTTACAAAGTGGAAGTAAGCATTAACAAACTATATACAAGTGTAACATATGCCATAAATTTCATAAAAAAAAACGAATTACTTAGGAGTGGTAGAGATATAAAATATGAAAATAGTAATTCTACGCTTCCTACTTTTGACTCCTTCTAACAGCTCACCCTGTAGAGCTGCAAACTTGAGCTCCATAAGAAAGTTGCCCGTTGACCTGAAAATTAACATACTAAAATTTGAACAACTTCTGACAGTACCCAAAATCAATGTAAAAAGTGTGGGGTCATTTTCAAAATTAATTAAAGTTTAATAATTTTTATTATTCCCATAGTATTTTTCTTCTTTTTGTAACAGTTTTTACAGAAAATATATACCAAAACCAAAAAAGCATCAAAATACCTCATTTTGTAAGTCACTGGGTAGCTATATATACTTTTATTTATTTTTAAAAATCAACATTATGTATATATCTAAAATATAAAACAAATAATAAATGTCAAATATGTCTACAATACTGGTCCCATTTTCTATAAAATGTTATATATTCAATTTATGAACATTTTGCCAATAAAACAATAAAAACTTGCAATTATTGCACTAAAATATGCCCAACTGATTATATTGCCTTGTTTAAAAAGTCCAACACTGTATTTAAAGCCTCCTCAGATTCTTCACTATTATTATTAGAAATTATAAGATCCCATTGATTGAAATCATCTAAATCACATTCGGATGGAGCATCATCTACACCTAAAATTAAAATATGATGGTATTTATAGAGATGAAACATCACTTTTTGTTAAAAACACTGTGACAACTACCTTCTGTAAAAACTAAACCCCTCTTTTCTCGTATCTGAATATTAGCAGTTATTTTAATCGTTTTTACTAAATCTCCATATGTATTTTTGAACCATTCTATGTCAGTTTTTCGTCTAATATCACTAACTATCCAAATTTGTGTTATTGGTGCTAAAAAATAATACAAATATATTTATTTTTATATCATCAGATCTGAAAGAGCTCTTCTCTATCAGTCAAAGGTAAAGGATGTGTTTTTCATTCTCCCAGTTAGGAGCAGATCACTATAGGTTTATTCTTTTAGTCTCACCTCAGCCTAACAGGAGGGATTTGGGAATAGGTCGGAGGGCATGGGCTGGATGATAAGAGAAAACCTCATCAGTCAAATAAAATACTGTCATTTCCTACAGTGTGTGCCATAAAGCTGGGTCCATATATATGGGATTTTTATTTGAAATTACCTCTGCTTATTTAAAAACTTAAAATAGCCTGTATCAAAGTTAGCTACTGATATTACTGTCAAATTCGCAATTATTTTTTGAAAAATCATTTAAAAACAGCCCTTTTGAAATTCCGAAATTACTTATAATTTTTTTTTGTCGCTTTATTGGCAATGGACATTAGTCCTTCAGCCACACACAAATTGAAAGGTATTACATTTAAATATTAGATATTAATATTATTTTTACTTACATAATCTACCAATAAATCATACACAGATTGATTTCCAGTCGCGAGCAACACCTTAACACATGTAGGAAACTGAATACCTCATAAGCCCATCCCACAGGTCATTATTACAAAAACTCTTACAGCCGAAAAATATGTGATCGAGATCTGTGACCTCATTATCAAGAGAACATAGAGGAGAATCTGTCAGTCCTATACATATAAGTAATGTCAGTAGTGAACTTTGATATGGGTTATTTTAAAGTTGTGATTGTCCTATCATAATATTAAGAAAAAATCCTATGTGGATCCAACTTTATGGCAGGCACTGTATACCTAGTTTTGTTTTATGGCAAATCTTAGTAGAGTACATTAGTTATTTTTTCTAAATGAGTCAATTAATTAATTAATTTGTATTTATAAATAAAGCTCACCACTATCGCAAGCAGCTTTGCAAAAAATTCCAAGGTTTTTGTTTCTTTCCTCTTCACTCCATTTTATCATTTCAGATCTGTAGATTTCTTTATAAGGCCCGTCACTTAAAAGTTCTTTCAAATCTAAATTGTGATATTTAGCATATATACCTTTTAAAGGTTCAGATATTCGAATAATCGTAGATTTTTCATTTCCTAGACTGAGAAATTAATTATTAAATCATCAGTTTTTTTTTATATACCTACTAAATAGGTGACAGTGAGTTTATACTTACATTGATTGTAATTTACCGCAAATATAATCTTTTCCCGATTTCCTTTTTCCGCTAAATAGTAAAATGACCATTGGAAAGGTCATTTTAAATTAATAAAAATATAAGTATTGCACCTTTTTTTTTAAATCCAAAATCCAAAACCTTTTTAATAAGCCTGTTAAGCCAACATCAAATATGATACTTAAAGAAAATTGTTGATTCAATTAAATATTGCTATAGATAAAATACAACAGTTCTTATTAATATAAAATATCGGATATAATTAATTTACATAAACAAGCAATTTAGTTACTAAAAATCTTAAAAATAAATGAGTTAACATATACTACACAATGTTTATTGGTTAAAAATTATATGAGCCGCAGATGTTAACTATATGTAAATCTTCCTTTAATATTGACGTTGACAAATGAATGTCAAATGTCATCATTTATTTGTCAAAAGTCAAAAGCATGTCAAAGGTCAAAACGAATGCCAAATAAATGCCCGCCCCGTCCCTTCTTTCTGCTGTCGCATTTCTCCCACTTTTAACTGGTATTATTGAAATAATTTACGAGAACCGGCTCTTCCAGCAACAAGCAAGTAGTTTTTATTTAAAGTAAAACTTAATGTGCTAATAGTTTAATACTAATACTTAATTTAAAAAATCCTTTGTAGCAGAATCATGGCGCAAACATTTAAAGAAATCAAAAATCGACTAGACGTTTCGCTACATGATAATTCAAAACCATGGACCTCTCTACTGGCAACAGCTGAGGAAAAAAGTGGAGTTAACAGAGTGTACCTCGCTTTAGGTAAATTTTCATTTTAATTATTACGTAAAACAATTTAATGGAGGTTTTTGTAAATAATAATTGTTCCACTGACTGACCTTGACCTATCATACCTGCTAATATTTTAATAATTATTTTTTAGGAGTCGCCGTTTTCATAGGATTGTGGTTAGTGTTCGGTTACTTTGCCGAGCTAATTTGCAACACTGTGGGTTTCCTGTATCCTGCATATGTATCCATAAAAGCAATTGAATCTAAAGGAAAAGATGATGACACCAAATGGTTGACCTATTGGGTAGTTTTCTCCATATTCTCTATTGTCGAATATTTTGCTGATTTTATTGTAAGGTGGTTCCCATTGTATTGGCTTGTCAAGGTTAGTTTGATAATTAGCTCAAGTTTTATTCATATTAGACATGCAATTTGGCTTTTCCTTTATACATTTATAAGGATTATCACTGTATTTTGACCACATTGTATTAAAGTGAAATGTAAAGGGTTGCATCAGTAAAATTATTGATTTTTTTAACATTATATTTGAAAAGTACTTTATGAGTGTAAAATGCTTTATATTTAGTGTTTGTAGTGCCACTATAACTGTTTGTTTATATATATCGGATGCATCAGATGTTGTGAATATTTGATCATGTGATTCAAGATAGGTAAATGTAGTTGGAGCAGATGTGTCTGATGTAGATAAACAAATGCCAGAGAGGTAAAAAATTCATTAGATGTGGATATTCAAATAACTCACTAGTGCTTAATGTTAAATATTTACAAGGAAACAAGACAAGGTCTGCCTATAATTCAAACCATCTCTTTTTATTTATCTATGATTCAATCTGGAAAGAATACAAAATAAAGTTCTAAGATACTGTGCCTTCAAGTTAAATATTCGGGTAACCAATCACAATTATACTAGGACTTAAGTACAGGAGACTTATATCATATTTGAATTTTATCTATAGATTATTAAATGGTCTAGTCATATGCCTGGAACTCTTAGAAATAATTTCTTTCAATAATCCTGATAGGCAATTAAATATGTATCATGTTCCATTTCAAAATACAAACTATGGCATGCATTTACCTATTTAAAGAACATTGAGGGTAATAAATCAATTAAATCTTGAGTTTACAGGCATTTCTTTTAATAAATTTAAGGCAATCTGTATGAATGCATTGGAGTAAAAATGAAATATTACAGACGGCTTTACAACACTTAAAATGCATTTATTAATCTAAAACTTATTTGACTTAATTTTAACTTTTTTTTTCTCTTGTATTTTTTTTTTTTTTTATTTAATTTATAAATCTGTATCATTTATGTGTTTTGCTTTGTAATGGGGTTGATCCCATTTAAATAAAATAAATCTATAGCAATGTCTCGAGGATAATAAAAATTCTTCTATCCCAGATGAATTAAGCATTTTTTAAATTTAATTTTCTGATTGTCACACCAAAATCAAAAACTATTAGATCCTAGGGTTAACAGATGGTCTTTATTTTGTTTTTTAGTGTATTTTTATGGTATGGCTCATGATCCCTGGAGATTTTAATGGATCAGTTACTCTTTACAAAAGGATTATAAAACCCTACTTTTTGAAACATGAAAGAGACATAGATGGTACCATTAACAAAGTTAAAGATTCTGGTAAGCTATGCATGTGTTTTTAGAAAATTACCAATTATATATTTTTTACCAAAGTATTTACAAAAAAATAATTTTGATACATTTTTGTTTTCAGCAAATAAAATATTCGAGAAAAAGGATTGAGGGGTTTATTTAGTTTTAAGTTTAAAATGTTTTGTTTGAAGTTTTTTGTCCCAGGATGGAGTGTTTTAGTTATTTATTAATTAAAAAGTATTTTAGCATTTTTATATACTTAAGTGATAAATATTTAAAAACTTTTTTGATCTGACAAATATATAATACAAATCTCTTTTATTATGAATATAAGTTTATATTTGAAGTATTTGAAATTGTAAATCTTAGTTTGTGAATTATCTCAAAGTATTTTGTGCTCATGAGCAATTTTTTACTATATTAAAATAATTATACAATGTAATTTTTAATTTTAAAGCCTAGAATATTATTTTATTTAAGAAAATCAAAATTTTCAAAGTTTTGCTAAGTATTTGATAGCACTTCTCTGTATATAAATATATCTGATCATAAGTAAAAGATTATAAATGTTTTGGGCACTAAAATAAAGTTTGTTCTTCTGTAATTAGTTTTATATATATACATACACATGCCTACTCCTATCCTATATACTTTTCTTTAATAGAAGCAGTTAAGTTTGTCTGCTTGCTTTTGATTATCAATTAGAGCTGTGGAGGTAACGACTAAATTTATACCTGTATCAATTTGGTACTCATGGTCAGACTATTCGTATTTTATTTCTAGTATCGTTACCGAATATTGGTACATTTTACATGCGCCATCAATTGTTTAAAGAAATATTGTTCATTTTATACTTTTTATAGACGGAAGTTAGTTAAAAATGTTTAGAACACACCTGCCTAATTACAAATCTTGTCTTTAATTCATTTTTATTATAAATAATGATTTATGGTACTAATGCATTTGCAACAAAAGGCAATATACTGCATTACTGATTAAAATTGTAGAACTACTTCATAAAGAAGGTATCATATTTTGTAAATTATTACAAGAAAAATTATTATTTATTTTTATTACGAAAAAAACAATCACATCTCACATAAATCATAACAAAAACAGGAGGACAATAAACTAGAGTAGAAACCCAACAAATACGAGAACCGACTCGGGTGCCGAAAGTAGTCTAGTACCGTACGTTGTTTAAGGCGCACACATGGTGTGTTCAGATATATGGATATAAAATAATTCGAATAATGAAACATATTTTGGAGTATCATGGACTACCTGTTATTAGATAACGAATACATAACTTCTCTACAAAAGAAATATAAAACAAAGTAGAAACTATACATATATTTAAGAATTTTCACTTTCTTTAAATTTACATTTTGTACATGTATAAAATACAGTCTGTCCTTCATCTGCTGATCTCAACTGTAAGGTCGCATAAGACATCCTATCATTTCCACATCTGGGACACTTCCTGTCAACAACTGGACCTTCCTCCTCATCTTTATCCTTCTGATCTTTTATATTTTTCTTCTTTGCTTCTCTCGAATTGAAATTAATTGTATATTTAACTTTTGTGTTGCCGAAGACTGAAAATAATATCATCAAATACATGTTATCTTTTACATTCAATACTAGGGTTGTCACCTGTCCTTTTTTGAAAAAGGACAGTCCTTTTTCCAAGCAAAATGTCCTTGCCACTTTTTAAAGCTTAAAATGTCCTTTTTTACGGCATATGTCCCGTTTTACTCTTTGATATCTTTGAAAGGGACCTGGCTTGTACAAAAATATACAAGCTGAGAACTTATACCGCATCCCCTGTCGGCATCATAGTCCTTTTGCACTTTTCAAAAAGGTGGCAACCCTACTTAATACTTACCTTCTTCCGCGTCTTCTAAAAATGCTCTAGAACATGTAAAGCATGTTACACCACCTTTGTCTCGTAGAGGAGGTAAAATTGAACCGCAATCCGGACAAAATCCCGGTATTCTATTAAAAGTAGAAGACATTTTGCTATATTATATTAAAAAACATTTAAATTTTTTGAAAGATTGGTTATGTATTTCTTCTTCTCTTTTTTGAGCTGTGTTCATGAGACAGTTTGCCCAACGACAAAAAAATTGTTTTTTGTTTTATTTGGTTTCAGTATTAAGACGGTAAAGACACAAGAATGTTAGAAAAAGAAGAATAAAGCGATTCGATTGATAAAAAAATAATACCAATGGTAATAACCATGGTAGGGTACAGGTCATAGATAAATTAATAATTAATTTATCTATGGTACATCACTGAACTCTATACAGGAAGGTATAGTGGATTGTATACCCATGTACACCTATACCGGATCAAACGAAAGGTTTAGATATGTATTTATAAACAAAACTCAGCTGAGTCGGACTTGGGTAAGTCGTCCTTGAACGAAAATCGAAGTTCGGTTATATCGCGTGAATTTAGAGATGGGTAGTAACGAATTAGTAACACTGAACTGTATAGAGTTCAGTGATTAGTAAATGCACATAACAGTTGAAGATTTGCTAATCTCTAAATTCCAGTTTAACACCAGAACCACCTAGAATTTTGGAGACGTGGTAACCGAACTTTGATTTTAGTTCAAGGACGACACCCAAATCCGACTCCGGTAAGTTCTGTTTATAAATACGGACCTTTAAGTGTCCGTTGGAAAAGGTTTCTACAAGTCGAGAATCGACCCCCAGTGGGACGAACGAAAGAGCCTTATATACCGAAAGTCACAAAATTGTCACTGTCAGCTGTCACATGTCACGCATTTATTGGCAACTGTCAAAATTAGAGGAGGTTATGTAAATAAAGACTTTACGAAAGTTAATTAATTATCTAGATTAGATTTGATAAAGAACGTATTTGATTTTATTTATCATGTCAATTCAGTGGTATTTGTGTAAGTGAGATAAAAAGTCACATAAAAGTGAATGAGTATGTTATCTCAGTTATAGTGAAACATACCAAATTCCTGATTTTGACAAGTGTTGTGGTGTTAAATTTAAAAAATATGGATGATCAGGAACATAGTCCATTAGAAAATGACGAGCTTAGCGAATACGATATTTATTCAAAAACTCCTCCCAGGACAAAGATTCTAAGAAAGAATCGCGATAGAAAAAATAGAGAAAGGCAGACAAGGTATATTATAATTTAAATAGAAATTTTATAATTAATTACAATAACCTATTTCTAATTCTAACAACTGTTGTTTGTGTTATATACCCAGTTTAGGGTTTTACAAAATTTAATCTTGATCAATTAGGTTTGAATGGTGATCCCAAAAAGGGATGTCTGTCTTTTACAGGATTTTTAGAGGATATCCATAATCTAGTCATTTCTGATTATTTTGGGCTGCAGTTACTGCAAAAATATAAGTAATACATAATTGAAGTGTTGCTCCAGCCCAACATTTTATTCTTTTATTTAGGTGTTTAGTTTTGAAATTGATATAATTTAGGCCAAACATAATGAAAGCCTAAATATTTTATTGCAAAGATACTGAAGATTTGTGTTAAATTTACTTATCCACTTAAAACATCATTAGGTTTTTTGATTTAAGTTTCTATATAGATTTACAATGGCTTTTTGATAATTAGTAACCTAATTCAATATTAAATAATTTAATAAACTTACTAGAAAGTTTATCTTTTCTACAGCATTTAATATCTTTTTAAAAGAGGTAAATTATCTTAATGACCAGAGTCTTGTGAGGCTGCAGAGCACCTAGGGAATTTTGAGTTGAAACCTATGCCATATTTATAGGCTATTTTTATACTCTATTCAAAAAAATTATGCAAATATCAAGGTGCTAGCTTCGAACGATGTCAACAGAGCACTTCACTTTTTTAAAGTTTTTTTACCAAAAATAACAAAACCATACTTTTAGGTTATTTTTAGGCTCTTAAAATATAACATTTTTCAAAAAAAAAATTTTTTTTCTAAAAACAACCACACCACCTTTTTAGGCTCTTGAAATATAAAACTACTAAAAAATTGCTATTTTTTAATAATACAGGGTTCTTTGTTGGAACGAAGTTTTTTTTTTTTTATTCTGAAAACAACTGCTTATACCTACCACATTTTATGCTCTAAAAAACAGAGGTGCATGTTTATAAAAAATGAATTGCAAGCATTCACCGTGTTATACATGTAGTTGCCAAATTATTATGAGAGAGTATGAGAGTCTTGAAGGCTCTAAAAGTCACAAAATGCTCTAAAATTCACAAAAGGCTTTAACATTATATTACATTCTTAGTGCCAGTTATTATCTGTTCAATGTCTTTTCTGGTTGCAATTATTGTAGCTGAAGGTGATTTACTGGAAAGTACATCATTTATTTACAGTGTGGCAACAGTAAAACGCCTGCTCGCACCTCACATAAACAAACTCCCACAAACCATCCCCATTCAATTTAACAGCCATATTGCACTTTCAAATGCAGCAGCCAATGCAACAGCTCTGTCTTCCTAATATAAAACACAATCTGAATGCCTGCAATAAATAAAGGTTTACTAATGAATGAATGGTGTAGTAGTTTAGAGATATTCAACTTCTGTTTGGATTATTATTAGTTTTGAAACATAACAGAAACTTTTATGAAGAATAATTTTTTTCAAAAAAGTGAAAATAAAAAAGTTCTTCTTTTTCAGTCCATCCTGGGACAACCTGTATGTATATATTTTGTTTATTAGGCAATAATTTTCTCAATATATTTATTTCTCATTGATAATATTAGGTTGTTAAAGTTGTTGGCTTTGTAACTTTTCAAAATTTATGTTTGGGACAAATCCCCCATCAACAAACAAAATAACATCTTAAGTTACTTAAATAAATAAAATGTATTTACAAAAAAATTTGGAATGAAATACAATAGGTATTAGAATTAACCTTGGGTATGTCTGCTAAAATAATTTGTTTGTGAGGTAGGTGCCTACATTGTTAGATTAAAGCACTAGTACTTTACAATGAAAACAATACGTATTTTAAAAACATTTAACATGAAACGAAATTAAATTACAAAATGTTACAAATAATAAATACTAATAAGTACATTTTTAGTATTGTTAATAATTCCATTACTTATTTACTATAAATTTAATGAAATACATGTGTCTTTCTAAATGCAT